TGGAAAAGAAAAAGTCATTGGCATGGGGTTCCTTGGACTTTTTGAAAACTTATGCTGAGCTTATATTAAGAGAAATATTGAAAAGTTATGATGAGTTTTAGATAATATCCCGAATAAAATATTCCAAAGTATAGAAATAGAAAAGATTGGCCCTTGATCATTAAAGCTCAAGTAACAAAAGATTGGCCCTTGAAGAGACTCTTTTATTGACTAAAAAAAGAAAAAGGAAAAGGAAAAAGAAAAAGAAAAGACTTTCATTTTCTTACAAAAACAAAATTTCCTTGAATTTTTGAGTAAATTACATACAACCACTCTAATACTTAATTAGGGGTTGGTAAAACTTTGTTTTGAGGCAAACACCCCTGAACTTCTAGATTCCAATTGGGATGGTAAAATTACCACATTTCCCATTTGAGATTCTATGGCCTTACAACAACAATTACAAAATGAAAATAACCATTCTATATCACAAATCATTCTCAAGGTGTTGATAAATTGATTGTTCTCAAAATCAACCTTGTTGAAAGAAACATGTGAATGTTAGTACTTTCTACCCACAAGAACACCACCCACACCTACCCACAAGACAATATAGCCCTAAATTGAGAACATCTTCCCATATCTGGGGCATCGTATCAGGGCATGACTAAGTGTCACTATATCCGTTAGTATAGAATGGCTGCCAACTCACAACAGGAAACAGGTTAATTCGAATCATGTTTAGCTAATGATATAATTACCCTCATCTCAATTGAACAAACAGGGCAAAGATGCAAGAGGATGGATTTCAAACCCCAAGATAAACTTTATACTTTTGATCCCTTATATATATGATATGATCAGAAACCCCATAATAAGTTTAGGTAATTCACCCTTCAACAAGAAGAGTTAGCAACAACACATCAAGCCACAGATCGACAACCTCTACAATTACAAGTACTGTCACGCAACCGTTCAACCTAAAAGCTTAATATTAGGTGAGGTCCCTAATTAAATAGCAGAGAGTATCAGACAATTACCAACAATCATCCAATATAGCATGGGTAAGGCTATATCAATCCAAATGGAAGTGGGAATGACAACAGTTGAGTGACTCGATTGACTAGCGTATTTGCGAGATCCTACTGCGCATTTGGATCCACAGAAGCCTCGGAGGTGCGCATAGTCAACAAAGACATCAACGCAGTGTGTTGCCACTGGTTGCACAGAAAGAGGACAACTGGTGCTGCATGCTTTTTAACCGGTGTAGGGGTCTGTATAAAGATAACATGGGGGACAGTCTTCATCGGCTTGCTTGAGGAATGTAACATAGGCATTCGTCAGCTCTGCATGAGTAGCCATTCCTCCACGAGTCATCTTTGTAGTGATCATCACTAGTGATTGCACTGATTCCTAACTCTGCAAAATGTGCAAATGCGTCCAGTATTTGAGAACTTAGTTTAAATCCCTTCAGCTCACGGCGCCTGAACATTCTTGCACAGCAAATTAATCAATGAATTCGTATTAAATCAGAAAGAATTAAAGAGGTCTAAGCCAAACTGAAGATAAACCAAGTGTAACAATATGGCCGCAACAACAATAACAACCTTAGAAGCCATTAATCTGTTGTACGTTTTCCTTTCTGGGTCTGTGTTTATTCCTTCCTAGAGCCAAACCAGAGAGTGTTGACTAATTTATAACTAGCTAGGTCAAATTATATAAATTGACAGGCCTTATTCAATATGGATGAATATAAGCCAAGTCCGTGTACTGATCAAAACCTTGTGCCAAATAAAATTATGGGTTGACTCTTATTATTAGCTAGCTGCGCTTTCATTGTCGCCATTACTGTATTGCCTCAGAGAATGCATCCACAAAGACTTCTAAGAGCAACTATGTGAGATGTGACGTTCCTAAATTGCTACAGCTAGCGACCCTGTCAACGGAGACTGTGTTTTGCATCCATCGGAATATCATATATCGTGGATTGGCGGATGTTAGTTTTGAGTGAAGAGACTTAGAGACTTGGTATTTGCATTTTTGCAGGTGATATTACGTCGAGAGCTATGTAGTTGGATATACAGAAGATAGTGAGAAAAATTTCAGTTTGGATTTGAGGATGTCAATTAGGCCAGAACTGTCAATGCGTCGGTTTTGGTTCGGGTCAGGGTGCAAAAGGGTCGGAATTAGTTCTATATAAAATCAGACCCAGACCTAGAACCGAACCAATCATTTTTTAATTGGGACAATAGGGTCTTAGACCTGATTATACTACTTTGATATATATAATTATCCATAATATAACAACTTGGAGACTTATAGTTATCCATAATACACCAAAATCTATGATACGGGAAAAATATGATATGGAAAGAGTTTTGATCAATCAAAATTCATCCATAAATTTTGATAAATGACACTTGATTTGCTATCACGTTTATGATTTCAATTTATTGATTAATTATTTTTCCAATATCCTATCTTTTTCGTATCATAATCGAATCCTTTATATCTTATATACAGTATGAAATTTATAGTTTACATAAAATATAACAAAAGTTACAATAAAATCTTGAAACCCTTTATATCTTGTGACAGGGACTGTGTTACTTGTAACGAATCTCCTTCAAGGAAAATTCTTTGTAATCAAAAGTGAGCTGCTAATTGTAGGCCTTGCAAGAAAGCCAACGCTTCCACTTCCACTAGGGAACTAGCTTGTATTCAAGAGGTTCTGGTCCAGATATACAAGAAATACAATTTCATTTGCATTATTTTATTCTCACTCTCATTATCATAAGATAGTTAATTTGTTTTCTTTTTATTCTTTAATTTCCACACTCTCACCAAAAAATCACATTTAAGAAATAAATGTTCTGTTGATTCCTCCTACATCTCACAAAACGGACAACTGGGATCCACGTTCTTTCTCCGGCAGAAAAACGGGTACAAAGTGGTAACGTTCCAGCTAGATGTACAGCGCCACGCAAAGAGCTGCACTCTCGGTGGCAGGGGTGTCAATTGGACCGGATTTGGTCCAACCCGATCCAGTCCAATGCAAGTCCATTATAAATGGACCAGATCCAATCCAATCCAATGAATGTTTTGGACTAATTTAGATCAGTTCAATTCAATGTCTGGACCATCCAATCTGTTCAAGTTCGTTTTGATTTAGATTGGTTTAAACCTAAACCCGGTCCATTGACACATATATTCTTATCTTATATCAATGGACCAAATATTGGCTGAATCCAACCCAATTCAATATAAATTTGTTATGGATGAATCAGGTCCAATCCAATCTAATAAATATTTTGAATCGAATTGGTCCAATCCAATATATTTTATTGGTTCATCCAATCCATCCAAATTGATTTTGGACTGGACTGGGTCCAATCCAAAATCGGTCCATTGACACTCTTACTCGGTGGTAGGCCTTTTAAGGCTCACACTCACAGCTTCTCCAAGTCTGATTTAAAGCTGATGAGGAAGATGAGGACACCCCGTTCATTATTTCCTTATACACCAAACTAACTTTAAAATCCCCGTTGGTTGTTTTGATCCAAACCAATTTACAACTGTTGCTCTCCTCGTAAAAGCATAACGGTATCTTCTTGATTGATTGCATTCTCCCCAATAAAAGTGATAATTTCTGCTCATCCCACAACTATGTTAAGCACTTCGTCATCAGCATCTTCTCATGTCACTTTATCTAATTATGTACCCCACTCGCTCAACTAGAACTAATGCGAGATCGGCTTCCATCAGGGCAAGCCCGTGCCCATATTGTTACGACTGTTTTTTACAATCTTGCATTGGGAATATATCTTCATAAGTAGGGCTGTAAGGGCTGCTCGAACGGCTTTGTCTTGAACAAGCTGAATTCTAATTATGCACCTAACTAGTAACTATTACCAGGATATTCCATACTCCTGCTACGATGGTCCTTTTGGTTTCATCCCTAGCTAGGTAAGGTACGGTAGAAAAAAGCACTACACAGAAATGGGAAGCAAATTAAGGCCCTGTTCGTTCCAGGGGAATGTTTTTTGCATTCCGAATGTTCTCATGGATCAAAAATACGTTTGGATGCATTTTGTCAAAAGAAATATCGTGTTCTAGAACAAGAACAAGTTGTCAGGAGTGTATTTTTTTAGAGTGACAAAACTGTCACTCCAAAAGAACACGTCCTGCAGAACTGTGTATTCCCACAACGCTAACTTAAAAAACGAACACATGTAGGTAGACCTATTCATGGGCCAGGTAGCCTGACGGGCCGGCCCAGTCCTCGGACGGACTTGAACATGAGTTTTAGCCCGCGGGCCTGACCTTGGGCCTAAAAGCCTGGCTTGATTTTTTTTGGTCCGGGTTTGGGATTTGTCAAAAAAGCCCAACCTGGCCCAATTTTTATATAGTTTAAACCCTAAATTCCTAAACCGCCTAACCCTAACCCTAAATTCTTCTCACTTTTCTTCTCATCCTCAGTTTTTCACTCTCAAACTCTCAGAACCGACAAACCCAGGCGCACTGTTTTCACTCTGCGAACTCAGGGCACCGACGATCAGCGCTACTAGAACTAGGTCGTCTCCCTCTCTCTGACGGTGAGCTCTCTCTCTCTCTCTCTTCGACCAGCACCGTTTTCATCTTCTATCTTCTCACTTTCTCAGTTTTCATTCTCATTCTCAGACTCCTAGGAACTGACGAACTAAGGCACCATTCTCTCACTCTCAGAGGCAAACTCAATCACCAACGAACTCAGGCACTAGTGCTTAGGCTCCCAGGTCGGGTTTCGGGCTCAGGCCTCGGCTTCGGGCTTTTTATGAGGGTCAGGCTAAGGCCCAAGTTGTAGGCCCGTTGGTCAGGTCGAGCCAGGCTTGGGCTTAGGCCTGAAAATTTTCTGTTAATGAAGAGCAAAAGCCCGGCCCGACCCATGAACATGTCTACATGTGGGTATTTCTGAAGTGTAAAGAGGGATGTTAATGTAAATTTGCTCAAATAAAAGAAACGTTGGACACAAAAATCCCTTGTCAGTTATCTCTTTTCTTCCTCATTCCGTTGCCGTACAGTCCATCAACCAAGAAAGAGTAGTTGGCCAGAACTTTCTTCTTCTTTGCTTGTGGATTCATTGACTTGAACCGTTGCCATTTGAAGAGTTTGAACCATAGTTCAGCCTGAAAATAGCAATCAATGCACTGAAAAACGCCATAACTTCTCTTCTTCTTCCGGCAAATCGTCACACAAATAGAGTTCAACCTCCTTGTTCCTCTTTTCTCCCCCTTCTCTAACGTTTAATTTTATTTTTATGCAGGTTAGGTCAATCTCCTTTATTCAACTGTCTTAGCCAATCCCCTTTCCAAAAGATAAACCCTATGTTTTGTTTTCTGATCATTTGTTGGCTGAAATAAATAATCTAATGACTTGAATATGTTGTAATTAATTAGTTCGCTTCCATTCCTAATCCAAAAGAAAATTTTTCATTTTAGTTTGTTCCCTAAAGTAGTAATCTAGAAATAGTGGTTCCATTCATGAATCTTGGAATTTGGTAGCTAATATCCATGTTTTCTACAATTGAATCTTGGAAATTAATGTTTTAGTTTTCCTATATTGTAGAATTTAAGATTCTAAGAAGAGTCCCAAGCTTTATCATTCTATTGTTCATTGGATGTTACTCTTTTATAAGAAGTGTTTCAGCTCTATGTTATTGAGCAATTGCATCATCTAGTTTAAATTTGTTGAATTTAAAAGAGAAGTGCCTAATAGATTTGTAACTACTATTATGATTTTTTGTATGTATATTGATATGAAGAATTAATCATAAGAGATAATATGGCTATACAAACATCATTTCTATTTTTGTAAAACAAAAATATGTTTTTAAGAACAATTTGCCAAACAAGACAGTCATATATTTTTCAGGAATAAGAAACAGGATTCCTGTTCCGGAACAGGAATTTCTCTAAGAACAGAAATAGGTAGGAACGATGCCAAACAGGGCCTAAGGGGGCTCTAACATATATACACTATACTATCAATTCCATGCAAATAGAATAAAGGTAATCGTATTTTTATCTCTGTTATTATTTATAAATCGTCGATAAGGAGCAGTATCAAAATTCAAAAGCAGGCCACAGTACTGTACCTCTCTTTCTCCCCTTTTATACTACTGTGTGTGTATGAGATGTATATTAGGCTAGGCTAGGGCCTCTCACAAATATTGCTGTACAAAATACAAATACTAACTCCATCGTCAACACAAGCCAACATGGACGGGCTGGACAAGATTGGCACGCACATGCAAGGACATCGCACGTAAAAAAATAAAGTTAACCCCGATATGGGTATGGGTATGGACCATTATCATCTACTTCTACCAGAGAAGAAGGGCTTGGTGTGGCCAGGGCCAGCCATGTGCCCATTGATGTATAACTGCTTTGTCTCTGTTGCTGGTGTTGGTAGTGGATCACGTCCGTCGTCCTTTTCATCGATGTGCTAGAGATACTACTGCTGCCACCCCTCTCATTCTGCTTCCATGAATAATGGAGGACACTTTGGTCATTTAGTCCATCATCAGATCAGATACATAGAAATCTATATCAAGTAATTATCAACCAACAATAATCAGCAAATACACGTTTTACGTACGTACTTGATAGAGGTGGAGGCTAGTTACGTTGGTGTCCTCCTGCTGGCAAGTGGTGGGTTCTGGCATGACTACGGGCGAGAGGGTAACGGTCACGGCGCGTCTCTCCGCCAATGGCCGGACGGGAGAAGCTGCAGCTCCCCCATGTGAGTAAGACGGTGGCGGTGCTAGTGGTGGTGGTGCAGGGGGATGAGGGTGAGGAGAGCACAGGCGGGGTGCTGACGTGGCAGAAGAGGCAGAAGGAGGTGTGGGGACCATGAGAACATCCTCCACCTGAACAACCACCTGGGATTGAGGGAACAACATGTTACTCCCCCCTGCTGCTGCTGCTGCTTCTGTACCGCTGCCGCTGCCACCACCCATGTTTGGCCAAAGAAATGTCCCCTGTGGCTTGCATATCCTGAACCCACTCCTTAGCCTCCGTATCTTCTCTTCTTTTCCTTCTCCTGCTATTACTGCCGCTGCTGCTCTAGTGGCAGAGACAGAGACAGACGCACTTGCTATAGTTGTCTCTTGTTCCCCTCCTCCTCCTCCTCCTCCTCTTCCTCTTTTTACTTGTTCCATCTCTGTAACCTTTTTCTCCTCTGCAACAGCCACTGTCATTGCCGCTTCTCCTGACGCTGATTCTTCCGTTACCACCGTCGTCGTAAGCTTCCCTATCTCCTCCTGCATCCAGACGCAGTTCCATCCATAAGGCCATAATCAGTTCATCACATGTTTCTTAGCTACGTTTTTTACGCATATATATTTGTTATCGTACGCCAAAAAAACAGAAAAAAAATCTCAAATTCACGTGGCATCTAATATGTTTCTGCTTCAAGTTACGAAATTATAATGAGCAGGAGGCAATGCGGGTGGCTGTACCTTGACATATACATGCAAATCGTGCACCCAAAACCACCAATTACTTGTATTAGTGGATGAGTAATGATTTTCACGTACGAGATGAATCAAAAGTTAATGATATTTGTATCCAAAAGGAGAGCGCACATCTGTTTTAACTTTACTCTTTTCCTTAATCAAAAAATGATAAAAATAAAATGGTTTTTCTTTTTTCTTTTTTTTTTTTGCTAAAAAGTATATCTTCTTAAAGATAAAAAGAAGCTATTATTGCGATGCTACAACAACGTATAATAATAATAATAATAGGAAAAAAAGAACTGAACTAATAATAATACAAACATTTAGAAAAAAATGGAAAAGAAACGTTATGGTTCAATTTCAAGACCTGCATCTCGTTCAGCGCATTTGAAATTTGGTGGAATTGTTGCTCGAGTTGCGCTTTCCTCTTTATCAATGCCTTATACATTTCCTGTCCAAAACACCAAAAATGTCTAGTGTTGAAACAAGCAAAATAACTTTAATGAAGATCATAAGATCAAGGAGGATACAAGTCTTCAAAACAGAGGGATTCAAAAGGTCCGAAAAAACATGCAAAATACATTACCAAAAAATTGCAAATATACCTGCACCGCAACTAAGGTAGCCGATTCTAACTTGGAATTGTTACGATAAGTCCTTGGTGTATCAGTCGCTTCATCAATTACATTAACTTGGGTCCTATTTAGCTTCGAATCGTTACTAGAAGACCGTGGAGTCTCGTTCGTTTCATCAATTACCTTAGTAGCATTAGCTTCCATACTCTCCTGCTTCTCTGACAACAACTTCTGCACATCTCTGTTACATTCGTGCAACAACGGGAAGCAAGCAATAGTTACGGTTCCGTCTTTCAGCTCTTGCTTAATTAGTACCTAATGGAGTATTAATTAAGACTCACCTTTTAATGTTAGCCATGTCTTCCTTGAGCAGTTTCATCTCCCTGGCACAGACGGGATCCTGAGAAGGGTTGTCACCCGGTTTCCACCCAGGCGGCGGCGTCCAGTAAGGATCAGTGACGCCCGCCTCCCTCCGAATGTTTACCAGGTCCGCGCTCTCCAGCCAGTACTCCATTGCACCGTCTGCGTTGTGTCGCCTACGGAACCGCTCGGTCCCACCGGGCGCCACCTTCCCCGCCATATGCTTCAAGAGGTGGTCCAGTAGCCCTGTATCCCCGATGTACTTTCTAGCCTCCTGTCTCAGTTCTGGTCGGAGCATAGGCTTGCTCGAAACTGCCCCTTTGGCTTTCATAATCTCCAACATCTTCTCCTCTCCACGCTTGTACCTTAGAAAATAAATAAGGGGAGATCGAATTAATAACTTGTCATTTATTACTAACTATATTATTTTTTTTTATTTGATTATTAGCTAATCAAGACAAACTCACCTTCTTTCAGAAAAAGACAAACTCACCTCTCAGCCGACCATCTGTCCTTCGACACCTGCGTCATTCGTTGGTTATTGATACCACGTTTCGTTGCTACTTTCGATTTCCAATCCCCACTCGAACCCTCATTCTTTCTCTTTCTATATTTCCTCTTTGTCTCGGTTTGCATGGCTTTGGGCTCCTCTTCAGTCTCCCTTGTTGTGGTTTCTTCATTTTGCTCCTCTTCAGTCTGCCTTGTTGTGGTTTCTGCTTTCTGCTCCTCTTCTTTGGGTTCAGTCGACAACGAAAGATGCAAGTACTTCTCTCTGTGGCGTCCGATAAAGGTCACTCGCCTGCGCACCCCCCAGTGCAACGACCCAGCACATTTTAGCTCTGACCAGCATAGACCCTTCAACGCAGGATCGTCATCATTTGATCTCTGGTTGACGAGGGAATGGGATGTTTCCGTCTCTTTAGGCGGCAACAACCAGAAGCTCTGCACTGCCTTTTGTTTTGCCAACTCAAGAAACGGAATTGATCTTGTCAGAACTTTTCTGGCGAGTTTGATTCCCATGACGAACTGTTCATCTAGTGCTGGTTCTTCTTTTCCATCAAGACGAACAATTGCATGTGTTGAGACCTCGCTGAAGTACGTACGGAGAGAGAGAATGCTTGGAAACCTCACTGATATATTGAGCTCGGTCTTCTCTGTTACCTGAGAAATCACACCCCAAAAGTTTATATAGTTATCGAGAATGGCCAATGGGGAAAAAAGTAGTAGTTAAGCTAACATACTACACTGATCATACTCGTACCAGGACTACGCGAATTGATTTAAGTTGGATTGGCGATCTGGGTGGTAGCTGTGTATGGTCAATTTCATAAAATGAACCCACTTCGATTTCCTCTGAAAATTTTCGTAAAAAAGATCTCATTTAATTAAAGAGAAGGAAATGTTTCAGACAGGAAAAATAAGATAGAATCAAAACAAAGGAGATCTTTGTTACCGTTGCACGGGCGGTGACAATCCGGAGAAGGTCGTACATGTCTGGCCAAAGAAGTGCTTTGTGCGTCGATGGACTGGAGATGGTTATGCCTTTTCAGGCACTCGATGTCCTGCGGAAAGACAAAATAGCACCACCACTGTCGTTAGAGCAGCGCCTATCTCTCTCTGTCCGCTTCACACAGAGAATATACGTTATGACAACGACGTCGTAAGCTTCATGACTTCATGTATATATTAATCAAGAACTAAGAAAGAAGATCAAATCTCCATTACGCATTCTTATCTAACGCACTAATAGAAGACGCGTGTTTCATTCTACTCTTTAATTAAAGTACAAAATTAACAAATCAACAAAAAAGGAGATTTTCTCTAACTAGCACGCGAGCGAGCGAGCGAGCGAGAGAGAGAGAGAGAGAGTACTGTGCAGTTCAAAGCTGCATTTTCTTGCAGTTCACACAGACTTGCTTCCATGGTTACTGATGCGCACCTATACAGAAGGTAAGTTGCATTCAATAACAGGTGAAACAAAGTAATAAATAAACGAAGTAACTATACAACGAACGAACAACCACGTTGGAACAAGAAATCCTTTCTTTTTGTTCCTTTTAGATTAAAAGAAAAACGATAAAGATAAATAGAACATGAAGGTCTCAGAAAAGGTTGGAGATGGAGTTGCAGTCTTAGGGTTTCAAGAAGAACTGAAAAATATCTGAAATCTTTCTCTAGAAACTAGTAGATGAATTATAATTAAAAGTAGTTTTAGCTAGAATTTCTGAAAATTAAATAAAAACTAAAAGCTTTGAGAGAGCTGAAGTGCTAAACACCACTAGATTGTGAGCAAGCAAAGAGAAAGCATGGAAAATTGGAAAAAAAAAATAAAAATAAAACAAGAAGAGTTTACGGAAATGACATCACAATGAACTGATTTAAGCCAGATGCATATCCTAAACAAAGAAAATAGGCGATCCAAATGCAGCACGAGTGCTCTTTGGAATCGATCGTGTTTTCAGATCGAAAAAAAAATGAAAGAGTTAAAAGAAAAAAGAAACTACATGATTAAGCAACTTCGGCCTTATTTATTTTTCAGATAAATTCTTTTTCTCCACCGAAAAATGTAAAAAAGAACGAGGAATCAGTTGCTGCAAATACAAAGACCAAAACCAGAGGTGTAAGCTCGAAAAACAAGTAATAGGAAAAACGGAAGAAGTTGTAAACCCTAGCGAGAATCATCGGATACTCAGTATCAGATGGAAAAAACAGAAATAAATCAAATCAAATTAATGAACACTTAACCTTTCAAAGAAATGTTGAGCTTTGGCGGTCTTCGATTGATTAACCCTAGCTCTGATCGACAAATGCTGAAGTAGACGATAACCTTTCAAAGAAATGTTGAGCTTTTTAGGGGTCTTCGATTAATTAACCCTAGCTCCCTGAAGTAGCCGAAACCACCTGATCTCTATCTTTCTCAATTGAAGGACCTCCAGAAGCTGTGAGATCCATTCCTCTCAACCTTTGGGTTTAGTTCGATTTTGATAGAAGATGGGAGCCTTTTATATCCAAGATTCTAGTTCATGTTATTTCCCGCGAAGGAATGTAGTCGTCGTTGGTTTGGACAGCGCTGGCAAGACAAACAACTCTCTCTCTCTACTTGGGAGAGGTTGTCACTACACACCCCACGGTTCGGAATCGGAGCAACGTCGAAGAGCTTACAATATATAAGGGGAAAATTTTGGCTGTCTACTTACCTATCAAAAAAATTGGCTGTCCACATTTCGTGTCTAGAATACGTAACATTTTGCCGCGTCAAGTTAATAACGGTGGCTCTGTCCCCCGTTAACTATTTATTTTTTAAATAGAATTAAATTTAAATTTTAGGGAAAATCAAAGGTGTGTTTTATTGAATCCGGATTTGCTCCCACCGTACCTCATACCGAACTCACAGCACTACCCCACCGTATATTGGAAAAAATACAATACAAATTAGGAGAGGAGAAGATCCGGAGTCCGGACTTGACGACTTTGGACTCACGTCACCGACCGTGGAGCCTCCGACGACGTGAGAGACATGAGATGAGATTTGAGGTAGTAACGAAGTTAATTATTGTTAGAATAAAGTAATTAAATAAAAATAAAAAGGTGAGGGAGGGAAATCATGATTAATAATGGTTGCACACGTGTCCATCTGGTCCCCACGAAATCAATAATGACGGATATAGCCCTACAGTTCACACACTCTTCGCTCGTGAATCAATGTGGCTCGTGGACAGACTGCAGGTGATGGGAAATCATTGTGCGCCTTAAGTAATCTTAACCGTACAGATAAAGGGATGGATATAAGCTTTTTGTCTTTTGATTGATTCTTGAGAATAACAAACACCGTTAGAGGAAATAGACACGTGTCAAGATGAGCACGTCAAGAGGTTAATGATATTCTGAATCCGGATTATACTTAGACAACAGTGCAACACTCAACAATTTTCACGCTCTAGCGAGTAGCGATGCCATGCATGCGATCGGGCGACAATCCTACGTACCGGCCCTAATACTATGAGGGTCCGTTTGGTTTATACTTATAGTTGAAATCGGAATTGGAATTGGAATTAGATAGGAATTATAATGGAAATTAGAATTAGTTGGAATGGATATTCATTCTCAAGGGAGGGAGAGGGAATGTGAGAGAATGTCATTCCACCAGGAATGGGAACGGGATTGGAATTCCACCTAATTAAATAGTTGGAATCAATTCCAATTCCAGACCCCTATTTTTGTGAACCAATTTGTTGAATTTGAAACACCTAGCAAGTTATCTAAGCTGCAAATACCAATGCAGGCTATGGGACAAAAAACCTAAACAATCCATTGGGTTACCGTACTGATTATGGATGGCAATATTTGATACAACATGTGGACATGATTTGAACACTACATATTTAATGGTGATGGTGCATGATCTGATTGCTCCTAGCTGGATGGCAGTTCAGACATCGATCTGCTTATGTGGCCGGTCAAACTGCAAGAGAACACGACCAGAGGACCTGGGGTGCTTTACCCGGTGTGGGCACTCCGATGCTTAAGTTAGCGAATCCAGTCATCAGGTCGTTCTACGTGTCCACATGCTAATAGGTCGGGCCAAATTACCCCTCATCAAATGGGTTGGATTGACTCATTAATTATATTCATGTTTAAATCATATAATCCATTTAACACGACTAATAAATGTGTCAATTTTGGATTGATCCATTTAATTCAAAAATAATTTGTTTATGACTGAAGTTTCAAGTTTTTTTTTTTTTTTGAGAAAAAAGTTTCAAGTATTAGATTATGTATGTAAATTTAATTGAAATACTATTATGGTAGGCGAATATGAGATTGAATGGATTCTATAAGTTGTTTGGGTAATTAATTAATTGTGCTATGTTTGTGTTGACCCATATATCCGAATGCCCCTACCTTGATACAACATTGGAACACGAATTGCCACCCAAATCATTCAATCTTTAAAAATAAGAATGGCAATGGGGCAGGTTCAAGGTAGGACACCCCTCCCTATCCCCAAAATACTCTACCCCATTCTCGCCCCCATCCTTGGTGGTGGGTGGGTTCGGGGTGGGCACACACTCCCCATCAGGGATAGGGAATTCTTACCACCCTGAGGCAACCACCTAAAAATATATCTAATTTGAAAATATTTTAGAAATAGTATTATAGGAATTTGGAAGTATTTTAGGAATTGGATAATGGCAATTTTGAGATATTTTAGAAATGGAATTACGAGACCCTATGATTTTAAGAATTTAAGGAAAAAGATATTTTAAAAATTAATATTAAACATAGGCATATTTTACTAATTACCATCAAATTCGAGACAGATTCATGGAATTATATGCAAAGCCCATCCTCGCTCTGTCCCTAGTTCAAGGCAAAAATATTTTCCCCGTACCCGCCTCGTCCTTGTTTAAGATCGGCAAAACCTCACCTCATTTAGGGCAAGGCAAGGCGGGGCCTTGGTTTTACGGGAAAAATTTCCATCCCTATTTAAGAATCACCAAAACACATCAACTAAACCATAACACTGCTTGTTAGTTAGGGGTATGAATGAGTTAGGCCTACCTAGCAAAACCAAACCAATCGAACTAATTATGTGATTATGGTTATGAGGTTTTGTCCCAATTCATAATTGGGTTAGGATTGGTTCTTGCTTTTTTGTTCCGATTCAGACACAAATCCATTATATAGTTAATAGTATATAAAAGCCTTCCACTTTTCTTGTAATTTTTTATTATATTTTATGTCAAAAAGGATACATTTTATAGATTTTATATAAGATAATTTTGGTTAAAACACTTGTTTTATCAACATAATCATTTTTAGTAAGGTTATGCTATCAAAAGTAAAGTTTTAAGCTATTATCACCATAGCTAATTAAACATCTCAAATATAATCAGGTAGGAATGGCAACGGGGTGGGATTGGGCTAGGTTTTGCCTACCCCATCTCTGACCCTGAACTCAAATGCTTTGCTGTAAACCCCGGAGGCGCTAGAAATCCTAACCCCATCCTCATCCACATGAGGAATAGAGAACCCTGAATTTGCCCTGCCCCGCTCTAGTCATTCATACTTGTATACTTACAATTTTTTATATTTTTTGAAACCTACCTAAACCTATTTTATATTATGTAAGTATATAATAATATATAATATTATAATATAATATAGCATATATGAACAATTTATATATATATATATATATATATATATATATATTATGTTATGTTATACAATATAGTCAGAGCGGGTTTGGGGCGGGGTGGACAAAGACCATCCCCGATCCCCAAAGTTTTGGGTTTCTCTGAACCGGCCCCAACTGGGGCAAGGCCCCACAAGGACAGGCTAAATTGCCATCTTTATAATCAGGTCTAATTGGTTAGACCCAATTGTCTCGATTAATAAATGGGGCAATTTTGTTTCTATCATATGGAATCGATTAATAATCAGTTGGGACTCATAAAGCTTGTCCCAAACCAAAAGCATTTTGTTCTCCTCCGGTCCTATCCACAAGAACCCTACTACAACCCCACATTAGAGATATCTCTTGTACTTGTGTGTTGTCACTTGTGGAGATGTTCCTAATGTGTGATGTGGTGTCTTGTGATTAGATGTGGGTGTGTTGTCATTCATGGGGAGATGTTCCTAATGTGTGATGTGGTGTCTTGTGATTAGATGTGGATAGGAGATTTGGATTGGGTCGACCCATTGACAACTTTATTGTTAATCTTCTTCAACCTAGATCACTAGCCCCTTTTTATTAACAAATAACCAAGGTTCAAAGTATTGGAAAGGCAAATTTAAGAGACATATCGGGATACGCCTTGGATGCGCATGGATACGGACGAAAAACTAAGATATGCATGGAAACACATGGAAATGCTATAAATATTCTAATAAATCATAAATAAACATCAATATCAATAAATATAAATATAAGACATAAATGAGCTATTTATGCATAAAAATAACACATTTTAGTGGGTTTTATGAAAAAGCATATTATAATCAATAAACGGGAAGTTGGGAATAGAAACATACTATCTAATTATGGACATAATAGATCAAATAGTTATTTTGCATGTTTTATTCTAATTTTCTAAAAGCTAAATAAGTATTTATTTTTATTCAAATAATTATTTTGGATGTTTTATTCTAAAAATTAAATTAAAATTAAGAAAAGTAAATATGTAACAAAAAATTGAATGGATTTATGGACATAATAGATGAAATAATTATTTTGCATATTTTATTCTAAAAGCTTTAAAAAATAAATATCAATGTTTTAAAACACAGAGTCATTCCACTACCTAGAGGCGTGAAGCATAGTTCAGAATGCAAGAGGCATAAGCTTCCTTAAGAGGAGGAAGGGGGAAGGAGGGATTTCATTTTTTTCTTTATTTTTAATAAAAAAATTATATTAAGAAAAATAAAAATGCATAATAGTTGTTAAAAGGGGGGTCTTGTCGAAGTGGAGCAAGACCCCCCTCCACTTCAACCCCCCTAACTCAAAAAAATAAATTAGGCTGCAACGAAAAGGAGGATGGAAGCCCCCCAACCGAAGAGGTAGGGGCAAACCACTTTCTTTCCCCTTATCTTTTCTAACATTGGCTGAAAATGTAAAAGAAATTTGAAAAAAACATATTTAGTTTCACTCATTTGTTCACAACCTTGAAAAACTTGTTGAATCTTGCAAATTTATAGATGTTTTGGAAAATTCTTACAAGATTTGAGTCTTTAAAAAGGTTAAAAAGCTTTTTGAAGGGTTTGGAAAAGAAAGAGGGCTTCTAAAATGGGTTTAAAAACCCTCTTTCGAAAGGAGTTTTATTTGCGTTTCTGCCATAGTAAAATCGTATTGTATCGGCCGATTCAGTGTCGAAACGCACTGATACTTAACGATACGGGTATGATATGAGCACGATATGACCTCGATACGACGAATAGATGCGGCACATTCAATTTGGTACCATGTACCATGCCGAAAACTTGCTGGAACGATACGTATCGGCTAATACGAGCCGAAATTTTGAACTTTACAAATAACAACTTGATACAATGTAGGCCATGCAAGCACAACTAAACTAAGAAAAAGAATTCCTTATTCACCATGACACTCAAACAGGCCAAACACTTTTTGTTTTGAACAAAGCCCCACTAATCAATTCAGCTTGTGCACTCCTTTGGAAAATTTTAAGCTCTTATATATAGGAACCGTTTTGGAGGGCTTCTGCAATGATTGAGCCACGTTAAGGGAGCTGCTTCAAAGAAGGTACCTAAGATAGCTACACCAAAAAGTTGATTTTTCAGCTCATATAAGCCTATTTTCAACTTTCCAATTTTTTACCAAACATGAGTACATCTTTCTCGATTTCTCAACACATGTAAGCCTTGTTCGTTTACAACTTTGTAAGTTATCCTTACTTGATTAATTCACTTACCCATGTTATTTTGATTCCCAAGATCCATAATAACATTTTTATCTATAAAAAGCTAATATTAAAACGGACAAAGTTGTTTCGTTATGTTTTATAAAAGTTTCCCTGTGAAAAAATTACACACCCACCGGCCAGATGAATAAGATTTACCAAGATAAGTATTTATAATGGGGCCCACTACTTAAGGCAACAAGAAAACATTGTAAAGCTGGTCAGTAGGAAAAAAGATGCCCATTGACCAACTTTACCAGGCTTATTTACTGATAAACGAATGGGGTTGTAATGTGAGAAGCCACTTCATGAAAGCCCTCCCATGTGCCCATTTGGGAGGGCTGAAAGCGGCTTCTGGCTTTCTGAGGTGGACCCCACATGGACAGCCTATAAGCTTATGTGTGGTTAAAAAACTGGAGAGCCTAAATTATATGCCAGTGGGTCATTTGAAGGTCTGACCGCTTCAACCTCTTTAAATATCTTACCCATAGCACTTCAAAGCAGCTGAACTAGCTTAGTTAAAACTTCAGAAGCAGCTCAACCAAAGTCAAAGCTTCAGCCCTCGCAAACGGGGCCAGCTCACGAAGTTGATACTGGATATGGCACTGTCTGTACTATTTATTGATAAGATCCAACAAGTGCTTATTGCAATAACTAGATACACGTTGGGGAGCCGAGTGTTATAAAGTTTTCTATATCAGCATATCTCTGCATGGTGAACTAACTCTGTTAAATCCATTAATGTATCTTTCTTGACTACTCATTGTTCCAGGTTGAAGGCAATTCTTCATGGCGTAAGTAAAGCATATGATCCCGTACTTCAGGCACTTGCAACTTTGCAAGTTGTCATCCAGACTGAAACCAGTATAACTATATATTGCACTAAAAGCCCCCTGCAAAATTTACTTCTACACGGATCAATGCTTATGATGGAGATATACAAAGCTTTGGATATCTAAGAAGAAAGAATATATTCAAAATAACCCTGGCCTTCAGTTCAATTTTGATTTATTATGAAAACTATAGCTTGCTCATTGTGGGGTAGGCAAGCAAAAGTGCAAAACCAGTTCATCCTTATTTACATAGGTCTCCCATCTCCCTTCTGTGAAACCAAAAAGAACATAAAGTACCAACCTGACAATCATCCTTATATATCATTTAGTGCTCAAGTTAATTGGGTTCCAGAAGAGGATAGAAGTAAAAGTTGAAGGTTTATTGTTCTCAAGTAGTTTAACAAAGTGCAGGATGAAGGAATACCTGACTAGGATCATTAAGATCAAAACTGGTGAATTGTTGATTCAATACCCAAGCTGGTGTAGTTCCCTACAAAAGATGCAATATCTGAAGTTCAAATGAACTGAAATAAAAGGAAACTGGTTACACAAGTTAATTATTTCTATCATGTGCACCTGGCCAAAATTCTTCTGTCCCAGGTCAACAAAGGAAGCACCATGGTGTTGGGAATCTAAATCAGTATATGCTATGCTATCATGAGAAGGGACTGCAACTGATGTCCTTTTCAGTGTGTCTTCAACATCATTTAATGTTGTACATAAGCTATTCATTTCCACGCTGTACACTTCATTATTGGTACAAGCCTTCTCTGCAATTTTGGTTGCCTCACGATAAAGATTAGAATACCGAACTGTCACAGGCTCTTCACAATTGGCTTGTATATCTTTGTGACGGTCACCCACTACAAGCCCTGACCTTGCATTTTCTGTCTGCCATTTTAAAATGTAATTATTTTGTTTGCACTTTCTTGGAGTTGACAGAATGTGATTATGCTCTTCTACCAGTCGAGTTATAATCCATCTAGTTCCTGTTTTTCTAATATTCATCAGTGCCATGCACCCTGTTCTTGATTCTACTGGCACTCTTTTCTTCTGCTCATTTCTATCAGATTTGATTTCACGATATCCTTGAAGTGAACAACAAAATGAGCGAGCTATTAAGTCACCGGTACATTTTGATTTCTGGGTTGAACTTCTCCATGCACTAAATCCAATCCCTCTTGCATACTGGTTATAAAAATTGTATGCATCTTCTTCAGATTCAAATTCCATGCCAACACATGGGTGAAAATCATCATTTGCATTGACTTCAACATCTTCCTCACATTTACTAATATCATTGTCTATTAGATCATCTTGATGACATACTGTCACACTGGTTAGTTCTGCCATATTCCCTGGCTTATCATCGGTTACAAGAATTGTAGTTTCTATATTTGGTCCTATACCGGAAAAACAAACAGTTAGCACTCACAGTTAATATACATCCAAAAAGTGGCTATTGAAAATTCTATATTCTTACCCACTTTGGCCTTTTTCCTTGGTATCCAAGTTTCTCCACCTAACAAATTAGTTGGCTCCTCAAAAGTCCCATATAATTGTTTGTCTGCTTCAGTGATCATTGTCTTCTTCAATTGGCTATCCAAGGATGATTTCTCTTTTTCAGGTGCCCTCTGTGTTTTGTAATGGATAGATCAGGTGATGCTTGTGCCATGGAACCAATTGATATCCTTTTTAATGCCTCCTCAACATCTTTCAAAGTTGCACGTAGGCCATCCATTGCCAACTTGTAAACTTCATCATTTACAGCAGCCTTGGTTGGAATGTATGCTGCTTGACGACAAATATTGCAATACCTTATTGTCACAGGCTCCTGATAATTGGCTTGAATGTCTACACCTTGGTTGTCTATCAGAAGTCCTGACTTCTCATCTCTTGTCCACCTCTTTAGTATGTAATGATTGTTCTTGAATTTGGTTGTAGTTGCCAAAGCATGATTATGCTCCTCCACAACTCGAGTTACAATCCATTTGGCTCCCTTCTTTCTTATATTCATCAGTGCCTTGCAGCCTGTTCTTGACTCAGATCGTATTTTTTTCTTCTCTTCAATCCCATTAAATTTGACTTCTTGATATCCTTGAAGAGAACAACAAAATGAACGAGCTATTAAATCACCAGTACGCCTTGATTTTTGGGTTGAACTTCTTCTAGTGCTAAATCCAATCTCTCTTGCATACTGATTATAAAAATAGTATGCTTCTTCTTCAGATTCAAACTCCATTCCAACGCATGGGTGTTGAAAGTTAGTCTCATGGGCTTTGGTTACATCTTCTTGCTGTTTATTAACAGCTTCTTCAAGTAAGACATCATCCAGATCTCCTACTTTTCCTTTCCTATCTGATCCACCATCCCCTCTGATATTATCCAGGTTTCCTCCATTGATGGGATAACCATAATCTCTATCATTTTCAATCAAAGACAACTCCTCTTCTCTCCCATGTTCCATTTTTGGATCTACACAACAACACAACCAAGATTATAACCCAACTAATAAAATAGCCGCATCCATAACAGCTTATATAACATAACCAGTTGTGAACAGGATAACAAGAAAGATTAATACTGTCATGTTTAACCTGTTAATATTGGAAAAACAGCAAGAATTGTTCCATATAACATGATCAATACATTGAAAAGCTTGTCACAGAGCTAGCTAAGAGAGAGTAGATGCCTTATATTTATATAATATGGACTTGTCAGAGGAAGAATTATGGATTTATATCTAAATATGATAAATCTGATTATGGCTTCCATCATGCTATCCCCTTAAAAAGACAAAAGAGAAGACATTATTGTGACTGTTAATATGGTTATAAGATATTAATAAGCAAATGGCATAAGAAAATGATAGAAATTATAACTAAATGTAGATTTATTGGTGATCATAATCATCATCTAAGCTATGTCCCAACTATATGGAGTCATCTACACAATCCTGTTTCACCATTCCGTTCTGTTTAGTTCCATATCCATTGTTTAATTATGAGCCCTTAAATATTGAACTAAAAAAGAAATCAGAAGAAATCTACCCCTACAAAGTATAGCTTAAATAAATCATAACAAACAAAAAGTTTTTTCAAGAACCAAAATGATGGAATGAGCAGGCCAACTACTTGAAATAGTGAAGTGTAATATCCAACTAAAGATTTTACCATTGTTTGGTGTAATTCTAAAATCTCAGATGACAAGTATGAGAATGCAGCTTAACACTGAGAGCAGCCACTTTGTGCCCCCCCAAAAAAAAAAAAAGGCAAAGGTTAGATCCATAGTTTTCAAGGCGCCAAGGCTCACCTAGGCGATGGATTTTTTCAAGTACAAATATGTATCCAGTTCCCTAGGTTCCATAATCATATTTCCTTAATAATTATCCATAATTTTCATGAGAGAAGTATAAACTTCATGTTAAAATATAGAAAATCAACATATTTCAACATATTCATGAGAAAAAAATAAGAAAAGAAATTTCAAAAAATATAAGGGCTGAACCCCTATTTCTGTTATTGGAAAAGAAAAGAAAAGGTGGAAGAAGAAAATTGGTATGTAGTATAGACACAAAAAATTAGTAAAGAAAAAGAAGTAAATGTGTTGGTTAGACAACATTTTAAGTTCTTCCTTACTTATTGGTTCAGGTTTTGAAGTCTTTCAGGGTTCAATACAGCATTTAGCAATGTTTGTGTTGATTAAACCCTAACAAATAAGAAAATAATAAAAAAGAAATTAGTATATAAACACACAAAATGAATATTTTAGTTTAAAAAATGTCTATTTTAAAATTATAACCTCAAAAAATTAAGAATATAAAAGTTTTGTCCAACACACTATAGAAAACTGCTTGGCTATTAGGCGAGGCGAGCCTCCAAGGGCGCCTTGTCGCCTAGGTGTCGCCTTGACAACTATGGTTAAATCTATATCCAGTCTACCCCTCCGAAGACCCCAGATAGCTGGGAGCCTGGGACCAACATTGGGTAATGCCCTTTCTTAATGATGGAAGTAACAATTAACAAATATAAGTGCCTGATAAAAAAAAGTAACAAATATAAGTGAGATAGTGTAAAATACAAAATTAGTCAGAACTTAAAATATCTAATGTTCTCCAAGAATATTAACTAAATTGAAGGGATAAACTTGCCACAAGATACAGATAATTTTTTAAAGAAGAGGAAGGAATGCGCATTCATAAAAGACTTCTTAAGCATTTGCATAAGGCAGAGGTCTGTGGTCAGGGATTTGTGAATGGGTCTGGAATGATGTCAATATGCCACCTTGCAAAGTATCAAAATCCAAAGAGGATCATATCCAAAAAGTGATGACTGTTATTCAATTATGTTATCCAGATACAGAAAGGCACAGTTGAACAAAATGTTGGACATTGATTTTACACTAAATTGAAGTGTCCAGCATGATACAGCACCTATGTACAGGTATCTTGGTATCATAGTTATTCAATAGTTGTAAAGAGTCAGATCTCTCTTGCGAAACCATGTATGGAGCACCATCAATATCCCTATAGAGCCTAAAGGGAATAACACCAAAGAAAAAAAAATCCCTAAGGCTATGATTGGTTTGAAGGAAAAGGTAGGGAAAGGAAGAAAAAGGTAGAGAAACCTATACAAGGTTAGTAAAGATTTCCCTACCTTTCCTAACTTTTTCCTTCCAACCAAAAACAGCCCAAGTGTCACAGCCAAGGAAAAAAAAAGGAAGCTAAGCTTCATAATCTTTATAATCAACTGTGTCAATTAAGAGTATTTTCACCTTGGTAGATTATATATATGGGCCACTTCCATTAAAAAAAAAAAGGCTTTTTGACACATAGGAATTTTGGTTTCAATATAAAGGGCAGCCCAGTGCAAAGGCTCCCGCCAATGCAGGGACAGATGTACGCAGCCTTACCCCTGCACATACAGAGAGGTTGTATGAATACATAAAGGGATGTTGAAGGTCTAACCGCCCAACCCAAGTTGATGGGCAGTAGAGTTGTGGTGGGCCACTGTAATCGTGAAGTTTGGTTTGAAATATATAAAACAAAAATTGTCTAAATCTAATACCTGCCAAAATGAATTTTAAAGCAAATAAGCTCTAGTTAAAAAATTCAAAGGAACTAAAAATAAAAATCCAATCACATATTTGTTAGCAAACAGAAACCCCATCATAGATTTGTTAGTTATTAGTACAAAAGGAAAATTATAAGCATCAATCTTTTTGATCCAGAATTTGTAAGCATCAATATTGTTATTTTTCAAAAAAAAAATCCCCAGCCCCAAAAAATAAATTGTTAAGGAGTTTGAAAAGGCAAGCATTGTTTCCTTTCTTCTTTCTATATCTTACAAATAACAATGTCTTATTTGATAAAGAAAACACATCTACAACTGTATAGTATAAAACGCTGATAACAAACAAAACAAATTAAGCAAATGAGCAGAATGCACACAGCACACAAACTTCTCATATCATTTAACCAAAAAAGGAAAAAAGAAAACAATTATAAACCTAAAAATCCCTATAGAACTCCCTACAACCATAGGAAAAGCAAAATATGGACCCAACCAAATCAGTACCAATTTGCAGAGAGATCACGTAAACATATGGCATCCAATCAGATCTCCAAATTCATTAATGGAGAGATTGTAACATTGACCATCAGGTTTCTTCTATAAGTCAAGGATGCCTTTGAGCTGGCCTGATCTCTTCTACCGTATTCTGCGACAACCCTTGACATCAAGCAGTTTCTTTCTTTCTTTTTAATGTAGAATGGATGACACTACAGCAGTCTTTCTTAATTGAATTTACAAAAAGTTTCAATTGGATAAATGAAAAGAAAACATTTTCAGTAGATATAGGACAAGCTTGGCATGGAGCCCAACTTGTCCCATTTCTACAAAATATTGCTAAACTAATGATCTATTTGATAATGAGCTTCGGTCAATTTTATGATGAGCAGTGTCTTCTTCATGAGAGTGTGCAGACCTTGGTTTAGCAGAAGAATAAAATCAGATAGATGAAAAACAGAAAACTATTCGAAATTTTTCTATCAATCACCCAACTAATGATATCATACAGCCATGTATTGTTAGGATTTGTTGCTAAAACTAACCAAATAGGTGCTGTTCGAAGTTGTAAGACTACACTACAGCCGCTTTTTGAGCCATTAATTTTCTGATTCTTCCGCTGACTAAGCATATTATTAAGCAATGTTCTCTAACAAAATGACCATGTAGCATTTAAAAGAAGGATATATTAAGCCAAATTAAATTTCATATATGCAGACCTACAAAAGCAACTCGCTAATTTCTTTCCTGCCCCACCTGAAGTTTCAAAATGGAGATTCAATCACACATTGTGGAGCCCAGTTGAACCGTCAATTGCCACAACCCCATATCTCGGAATTCTCAATAATGCCAATAAAAAACATGAAAACGGAAACTGGAGATCGAGTAAGAGAATATACCTTGGTTTCTGTTGGAAATGGAATGGACTCCTCCAAATGTAAGATGGGTCCAGTCGCAACGGTGCACTTTCCGATTCTTTTCACTGGCTTCTCTAGGTTCGCTCTTCGTTTTGAGTGTGGAAAGCTTTGTCAAAGAGAAAGGAAGCAATAGAGATCAGAGTAGAGAGAGTGAGAGAATTGAAGCAGAGTAGAAGCGTGAACTGTAAAGGAAGGGGGGACGTGAGATGGCAAGTTGGCAACAGAGCACAGACGGTGTATCTACAATAACTGCTGCGTGGGCGATGAGAAAGAGAAAATCCAAGGCACCGTCCGCGCCCCGGGCCAGGTTGGCCGGAATAATACAGCCAAATTACTGGAAGAATTGAACCGTCAGGCCGAGTCTATATCTGTACTCCTCACATCTCACCACGGGAGATGTTTCCAATAGACGGTGGCATGTGCCTATGAGGTATGTGTGATGTGTCTATTAGGAGATCAGATCTGCTCCTCACAGAAGCGCCTCACAAGCATATCCTATCATACAATGGGAACATCTCCCGTACTTTTAAGTTATTATTCACGGGAGATGTTCCTAATGCACAGTGGATGTGCATGTGAGGCGCCTGAGTGTGAGGAACAGATTCCATCCCGTCTATCAGGTATGTGTGAGGTGAGGAGTAGATCCTAATTCTGGAAGAGGAGTTTGGATGGGCTCCCCACAGCCCATCCCCCCATATACTGGGAACACCTTCCGTGCTTGTCATGAGTTTGGGTGACCTGCCAATAAAATACATTCCAACATCCTACCGACATGACATGACACTGCACATATCATGCATGATGAGTCCCACTTTTACAATAAAAAAACATCCCAGCTTATGTTGGGATGGTGTTGGAATTTATTTTATTGGCAGGTGGTCCCAACTCATCATTGTCATAAGGAGAGGATGGGCTGTGGGGTGCATGTAGGGCATGCTCAGTGGGGAGTTCATCCCATCTCGTCAAAGAGTAGAGGTTGGACCTGTTTACAACAAAAAACTATTCCAACATAATTTAGTACCCACACATCACAGACATGGTCACAATCTCATGGTGAAATGTGTGGACATAGATTATGTTGGAATAGTACTGAAACAGTTTTTTGTTGTGAGCAGATCCGAAGTGAGGGTAAGGACAAGGGGGAGGAGTTTCAGTTGAACTGGGATCACTTGCAACAATCTCCAAACATGATCTGACATGTGCAGTGTCAGGTGATGTTGGGATGGTAGTAAGGCTTAGGTCCCCGAATAAGATTTTATTCCCTGGAACATCCTTCACACGAAAACCCATCAAGCTTGAAGTGTAGACAAATATAAATCCAGCCATACACTATGCTTAAATATAATTAACCATGCACAGGTTTTTATTTTTAGAGAATAACAGTTCAGCACAGGATCAGAATTTTTAGGCCCAAAAGTACAATTAGGGTAGGTGCCAACTCGGAATTGATGTCAATTCACAGGTGGGCATTGATGCATAGAGTGGGAGTATGACATTTTGAATATTTATAGGTCTGCAGTGAAATTCAGAAATCTGCAATGGCCCCGTCCATACTTTTCCGTTTTTTCTCTAAAAAGATTTTATATAAATTCAAATTTTGTATTTAAAATGGTGAAATGTGCTTAACATATCAAGATTTAGATGTTTATTACGATTTATGACCTCAGCCCAAAAAGCAATATGCATTGGCCCATATTAATTGTACCCTAAACCTTGATATGGCATGCTTTATGGCTGAATAGAATATAGATGGGCTTTGAATAAAAATTTGATAATCGGATCAGATGTGGATGTCATGAAGCTGGATCCGATCCAATTATTACAATAAGCAAGCAAAAAAGCACATTGATCCGGTTCCGGTTGTGTATTGGTATGTCAAAACCTAAACGTTGAACCGGATTGCTAATTAAGAGCTGTTGCCTGTTGGATACGGAAGTGGCAATGGTCGGTTTCTGATAGTAACCAATGGATGGTGGGAATGAAACCTCTTCGCTGCACAAACATCTTAATGCCAAATCATTATATTTTACTAAATCTCAAATTTGGAGAACACCTTTCTGCAAGAAACATGAAGTATTTGGGAGCAATTTATTTCCACACCGGATTTCCTGCCCACACGACTCTACCCACAAAACACTACCATTTTCTCCAACGAAATAACACTTTAACAGAACAACTAAGGACATCCACAGAACATCAATAAAACATTGCATTCAAGTTAACAAGAGCTTACTGGGCTGCACCATCTGGTATCAACACTACAGAACCAGTTGTTTTTCGATTCTCAAGGTCTGCATGAGCCTGTGCAGCCTGTGACAAGGGGTATGTATGGTTGACCCGGGCCTGTAAGACACCTGATGCAATGTTAGTGAACACTGCTCCGGCAGCTTCCAACAGTTCATCCCTAGTTTTAGTATACTGCATGAGCGAAGGCCTCGTCAAGAACAAGGATTTAACAGCAAGGGCTGACAATGGAACTGGATCCGGTGTGCCAGACGATTGTCCGAAGCTCACCATGTACCCCCGAGTCTTTAAACACTCCAGTGATCCCTGTATAATGAAAGCTTTAGATGTAAGAATTCATAACTACAGCCTAACACAGTAAATAAAGATTTAAAACAGTAATAAATTATCAATCCAAGACATAAAATTCTGTGGTGCTTTCTCGTAGGAGACCTAGGATCAAATAAGCTGCGTCTGGCAACAACATAGAAACACGACAATCCCATTCTGTTATTCACGTATTATTTGAAATGAGTCTAGGATGGATTTTTTTTCTTGGGAATATGTATAGAAATAAGCATAAGAGTTTTTAACGTATATGTGAATGGGTAATTGCGCATAATTTAGGATCTCAAAGAAATAGACATTTTCAATTTTGTTTGCCTCTTATAAATCAGCATGATCAAAGATAGTTTATTGAATTATGGGATAAAAAAGATGAGAATATGGCACCACTGCCAACAATGCTGTACAAGACCTAGAGGTGGTATAATGGAGTAGGGGTGTACAGGCCGTGCCGCCCGCGACCCAGCATGATTTTGAGCTGGCCCGGCCCAATGGTCCACGGGCCATGCCACAGTCCGGCACGATTGTATAGGCCAATGGGCTGTGCCGGGCTTGGGGTTTCAGGTCAATGGGCCGAGCTGGCATGGCCCGCACTGTCGTGTCATGCCGCCCGTGGCCCACAAGCTGGCACGGCCCATGTATATATTTTATATATATTTTTATAGATAATAAAATATATTTTATAAATTATAACTATATAATAATATATAGTATATAATATATTAATAAAATAAACGATTTTTTTCAATTTTAATATACTATTTTATTTAATTATTGTATATATAAGCAATTGTATACACCAAAATTCATATAAAATTAAAATTTTAAGTTTTTTTCTAATTTTTTTAAATAAATAACCTTGGCCCAGTCTATGGCCCAGCCTGGCCCAAGGCTCAGCCCATGGACCAGCCCAACCCGTGGCCTCGCCTGGCCCAGCACGGGCCTGCACGGGTTCGGGCCGTGGGCCATGCTGGGCCGACCCCCCAGAATATCCCAAGGCAGGGAGGTACTGCTCGGGATGGCCCCGCTGAGGCACGCCTAGGCGCATAGGGGCACCCCTCTCAAAAGACGCACGCCTGGTGCGCCTAGGCGTGCGCCTAATGTGCCTTGTGCCTCAGCCCAGGCGTGCACCTTTTTAAACTTTTGTGTTTTTTTGCTTTATTTTAGTCTAATGGCTAGGGTGTAGTACAAAGGCAACTCATAGAATCAAGAATGCAATATGTTTTATATCACATTAGCTACTTGAAGCAATGCAATTAAGGAGAAAAAGAGATTGTGGGTTTTAAATGCTTGAAAATGCTTTATATGTTTGCTTTTATTTTTAAATTTTCATTTGAATACACTTTACATGTTATGTTTATGTATTTTAATTTTAGATAATAGGTTTTTTAAAACATTTATTTTAAATTTTAAGTTTATATTTTTTATTAACATTATGTTTAATATTTTTTGCATTTTTTTTAATTTTTTGGCATTTTTTTGAATTTTCTGACTTTTTTTTATTTTTTAGCTTTTTTTTTTGCAATTTTGCACCTTGCTTAAAAAGGTGCACCTCACCTTGCGCCTTGCACCTCAGGCGCAAATTGTCCCTTGTGCTTTTTTTGCGCCTTACGCTTTTAAAACCCTGGACGGCCCGCGGGCCGACACGGCCCAGCCCACACTTTGCACGGGCCGCATGCGAGCCATGCCGTGCCGGCCCAGGACGGCCTGTTTTACACCTCTATAATGCAGTTTGGATCTGCTGACCACAACACATTGCAGGCCACACTCATCCAGATGCACGTTGAGAATATCCGTGACCATAAAACAACTGATGTTCCATATGTGCAGCAGCTGAGTGAACGTAGCCAGCAATGTGTTGTGGTCAGCAGATCCAGATTCAGTATAATGCTGTCATATCAAGCCATCTAGAGTTATATGCCCTCCTGACAACAGAATAGCCCTTCAAACCCCTTACCTTTCTAATGCATCTGCTAGATAGTTTAGCCAACCTCAAATACCCACACGGACAAGCTTTTCATGCTCTTTTTATGGGTTGGCAGAGTGACCACGGACCAAAGGAAACAGACATATCCAGCTCATTTATAACTATTTTTTGGTTTTGACTTTTTACCCCACTTTTAATTGATAAACTTTTAAAAAAGGCAAAGATGAAATATAAGAATCTCATTCTTACTTTCCATTAATAATGAAAAGATGATATATGGTACCTGGAATGTATCTTTGCCAACAGAATCATAGACAGCATCAACTCCTTTGCCCGATGTTATTTTGTTGACTATAGAAACAAAATCATCTTGCGTGTAGATTATGACATGGTGGCATCCATGTTCCTTGGCTTGGGCTGCCTTCTCCTCAGTTGACACAGTGCCAATAACAGTGGCTCCAAGAGCATTTGCCCACTGGCACAATAAGGATCCAACTCCTCCAGCTGCTGCATGAACAAGAATTTTGTGTCCATGTTCGACCTGCATTACCAGTAAAGTGGTGATATCTTCAAAAATGATGTGGAAGAATGATGAGTCTATAGCATTTAAAGATTGGATGTCACAACCAATGTTTTAAAAGGTGGGAGCATGAAATGAGGAGACCAAGACAGGATCTTATGGTGTATGTGTGTGTGTGTGTGTGTGCATGTGCCACAATGCATTTTGTCCTTGCAAAGAAAAAGGTATAACCATAAAGTACCAAGAGTTGAAAAAAAATTCCAAAGGACCAAAACCCTTCAGCACTAGTAGAAAGCTCTTAATGTTTTAACAAACTACAGAAACACACAAAAACTTGGAATTGGTCTTAAAATCTCTCATGAAAACCCTGCTTGTTGACAGTAGAAAGTTCAGAACTGTAATGATCTGGCCGCCCCACTCATTACCTTATATACTCATGAAATAAAAGAGATTACTATGACTAATATGCCCTTAATAGGGCAGATGCTGCTAATAACATAAAAACAGTTAAAAAATAAACATAAACTAATGGGCCTTGCGCCCAATAACACTAACTAATGGTGCCAAATAAAAAGAAACAAAAAACTGCTGAATCTCAACATTGACATAAGGCATGTCAAGGTGTGTGACACATGTGCCTTGTATTTTGATGCATAAACCTCAAGGTTGAGCATCAGGGTGTTTTATTTAAGCCTTGCCTCAAGGTGATCCTTAAGACTTAAGAGGTAAGCCCCACATGCCTTTTAAAACACAGGACACAGAACATGGGTACATGAAGAGAACCCACATGTTACACTGCTTATCCAGTCAAAATTAAGTCACATTTGCCTGAAGCATATCATTAGTGCACTACAGTGAATTAGGTCTAGAAGATACAATGGAAGGCAACCTTGAAGCAACGGTGGAGTAGGAACCAAGCAGTCATCCCTTTAAGCATGATAGATGCTGCAACAGTAGGCTCTATAGAAGGCAGGACTGGCACAGCAACATCAGCAGGAAGGATCTGTTCTTCAGTGTAAGATCCCATTGGATTACCTGCATAGGCAACAAGATCCCCAACTTTTGTACCTGTCAATCCAGGACCCACAGCAGTTACTACTCCAACTGCCTCCATGCCTGCAACAGTGATATTTGAAAAGGTTAAGTCTGACCTCATTCAAACCAGGACCTTCAAGGGTATGTTGATGAACTCCTCACCACTGGAAAATAAAAAGAAGAAAAAAAAAACTGCATCTGTATGTAAAACATGAATGTTGATAGGCATCTCCAATACATGTTATAGCCTCACAAAATTTAACCAACTGGTAGAAATTTTGAACCTTTTTTTACATTGAATATTCTAAATATCACACTCAAGTACTCATATACTGTGTTAAGCGATGCTTCAAAATCCCAGGCTATCTATGTCTACATAACTGAAAGTTGGAAATCAGGTTATAATGGTTTATGTTTTCAATTGGGGATGACTATAACAGAAGGTAGGAGGGGTATAGAACTAGAAGGAAATTGATAAATTAAGACAGATGGAATGAATAATTAAATAGATAAGTTACCATTACTTGTAGAATTGTAGATACATAAAGTAGAGGAATTGGTTTTACTACTTTGTTTGTGAGAAGCACCACCTATTGTTGTTGACCTCTCTTGAAGAGGGAGCCAACCAAATGCTTATTTCTTTTTCAAAACCTTGGAGATGCTTCAATTTCACAGAATCATAGGGAATACGTGAATTGGAAGAAAAAACCCAAGTAATAGATTAACTGTAAGATCTTTCCATGCAGCTTCTGCTAGAGATTAAATTGCATGTACTAGGAGACAAATATAATCATATGATCTGTCAATCTTTTCTTGTACGCATCACTGCAACAATTTATAAATATAAACATATTGATGTTAGTTACTGACAAAGTGGAGCGGGAAGAAGCAGATAGAATTTCATTCATGAAACGTGTAATATATATAGTTACATATGTTGAACTCTAGAAGGTTCGCACTTAAGTTAATTTCTAACTAATTGTGCCAGCTGGCTAACTAAACTCCAACACCCCCCTCAAGTTGGAGCAGGAAGAGACTGAATGCCCAACTTGTGTATGAGTCACATGAATTGGTCTGAACCCAAAGCTTTGGTTAGAAGATCCGCAGGTTGGTTCTCACTGGCAGTATGATGTGTCTGAATTGTTTTGATGTTGCCTGATGAAATGGCAATCTATCTCAATATGCTTGGTGCGCTCATGATATACTGGATTATTGGCAATGTGTAGAGCAGCTTGGCTGTCGCAAAATAGGTGCATGGGTTGAGAGATGGACACACCAAGGATCAAGAAGAATTTGCTTGAGCCAAAGTAGTTCAGACTTCAGATGTAGCAACTGCCATAGCACGACACTTAGCTTCTGCAGAGAAGCAAGAGACGGTAGCTTGTTTCTTTGTCTTCCAAGAGAGGAACGAGTCACTGAGAATTGTGATGTAACCAGTAATTGAGCGACGAGTGAGGGGGAAAATAGCCCAATCAGAGTCACAGTATGCCTTGAGATCGAGTTTACTTGATGAAGACAAGAAAATTCCTTGATCTGGTGAACCACGTAGTATGCGTATGGCAGCATTCATGTGTTCTTCATGTGGCTCATGGAAAAATTGACTGAGGGATGTACTGAAAAACTAAGTTTTGGTCTTGTAACTGTGAGAAAGACCAAATGACCCACTAACCGTCCGTACTGGGATGGATCTAATAGCAGTGGATTGTCTTTATTATGGAACTGGTTTAGTTCCACAGGAATTGGGCTAGGCCTAGAAAGGATCATGTCGGTATATTGCAAAAGGTCAAGCACATATTTATGCTAGCTCAGGAAGATGCCAGATGCTGAGCAGTTCACTTCAATCCCTAGAAAATATGTGAGGGGGCCAAGATCTCTAAAACGAGAACAAGTGTGAAGGTAGGTGAGTAGATCCTCAATGTGGTTGGAGTTGATAGTGTTGAAGTTGTCATTCAGTCCCATGAGGAACTGATGTAGCTTCTCACGTTCTCGTTCAGACATGAATTCTTTGGCCGCACCAGAGCTGCAAACAGGGAAGGAAGACAGAACAGAGAGCTCATCCAAAAGCCCTTTCAATTTTGTAGGCCGAAACAGTTAGTGAACCTTAATTCAGAATGGCGATGTCACTCTTCAGCTGGTGTATTCTTAGGATGTTTCCTTGAGAGAAACGATCCTCAAGATCCTTTGGTCCTTCCAGATTTCATATGTAGTATCAGTGTAAGCCACACTCTCATGGAGATCTCAAGACAAAGTGTTGAACAACCATGAGATCACCATTGAGTTTCATTTTACCCATGATTGCAGGTCGTCGAAAGCCGGATCTGGACGAGGAAGTGATCCGTCAACAAAGGTGAATTTATTTTTTGCCTGAAGAGCGTTTCGCATAGCTCGCCTCCAGGTTGAGTAGTTTTTGTCGGTTAACGGTGCTGAAACAAGGATGGCACCTAGGTTGTTAGAAGGATGGAGAAAATACGGCAACTTCAGATCATTTTCTTGCCCTAAGATTGCCGCCATTAACGAGCTTCAAGGAATCTTGAAAGAAACTCATATTTACAGAGTTTGTGGCTCTGATACCATGACAGAGTGGAGTGGGAAGAAGCAGATGTAATTTTATTCATGAAACGTGTAATATATATAGTTGCATATGTTGAACTCTAGAAGGTTCGTACTTAAGTTAATCTCTAACTAATTGTTCCATCTGGCTAACTAACTCCAACAGTTACCAATACAAAAATAACACCATAACCATTGCTGAGTTCACGTATAAAACTATAGCCTGCTTTAACATTTTTTATTCGTAAAGGTTAGTAATGCACTTATTGATGAGAAAGAAAAGGTAATACAAAATGTTGATATAGAGAGAAATCCAGAAGCAGGGAGCAGAGAGGCAAATGAGAGAGAGAGAGAGAAGCATAGGGCTTACATGAAAAATGGATCAGAAAACATGAGTACAAATCCATCACTAGGTTTGGGACCCCCTTACAAGGTTTATCCATTCCCAACTCTCTTCTAGCTAAACAGTTGACCAAGGCTCCCCAAGGTGGAGTCTCAAAGTTCATAGCCCTTCATCTGAAGAAGCCACTAAATCTATCACCACCTGGCATTCCTCTTCCACCAATAAACCACTTCATCCTGATTGAAAGGCCAACTTCAGACCTAGTAGAAGGGCTAACAACTAAATTTTAGGAATTTCCTTCCTATACAGCTCTGAGAAACTCGTAAGGATAAGGCCATCATCATAATCTATAAACACTCCACCTATTCTAGAGGAACTAGGATCTCAAAGTGCACAACCATAAAAATTAGAATTCACTCTACCACTGTTTGGAACATCCCATTCTTGATGAGTTGATGTACCCTCCTTTGTTGTGTTGTGTATGTGCAACCACCACCTGCCATCCTGCAAGGATGGCTCCATATGCCCATGAACTCTTCCCTAGTAGAAATCCAATCTGCAACTCTAACAGCAATTAGATCAATCATCAATGATAGTGCTGGCATAATTGTTCTTGATGCTGAAGATTCTATGTTTACTTAATTCCATACACTCAAAAGTATTGCTCCCTTGTACATCTTCACAAAATCTTCCAATCCTTTGGGTGCTAAAGGGAATTAGATTGGATACATATCCTTCTTTACCTTGATATATTTTATTCAATGAGAATAAGAAACACAAAAACAAAGTATAAATATTGGAATCACGAGTGCTCTATTCTTTTCGTATTATTGCACTACCAACAATTAAACAAACATTTAGAAGATTATACAATCTAATGTACAGATTCGTAATGGGTGAAAGCTTTCTTACATAAAACAACTGGCATACCACATACTTGATAAACATGTTCACTGTTCTCCCCTCCCCATCGGTAACAGCAATCAAAAGATATTATTGATAAAAGTAAAATGATAGAGGATCCCCTAATCTTGAAAGAGACTCTAGAGTAGGCTTCTTGACTATTCCTCCAGGCCTAGTGCCACACATACAAGTCCCTAGATGAAGCACATGCACTGTTATTGACTGTTCTAGATATCTACCTGAACAAGATGCTTGCCTTTGACTTGATCATTTTTACTTCCAGATTGTACAAAACATTAAGAGTTCTCTAAGTGAGAATCTTTTTCTTCAAGATAATTGTCGCAGAGAATCTCATCCCCCCCCCCATAGGTAGGTAGGGTTTGTGACCTAAGTGTTAGGATGAAAATGCCCCCTAGTTTGTTGAGTGCCAAAGGTATGTATAACTTTTAGCCCTCCACACTAAGTCCATCAATTTTCAACTACCCATCATCCTTGGAGACAACTTACAGACAATCAACCCAAACTTAAAGCCCGGGCAACCAATCATGATGGGGCCCACTGTCGCACATCACCTTAACTGCCTTTGCAAAGTATTGAAACATAGTGGAAACTTCTTGCATAAAGGCATTTTGCTCATAATAATTTTGTAGAACTAAAAACATATACAACAACCCAGTTCTGAAGAGAGACAATGTGGAATATGCTGTCCATGATGGCACATTGAAGTTGCATAACAGTTTAATGTGGCCCTCTATGTGCCCCTCCCAAGACCCCATATAGCTAGGATTAACATTGGGTAATGGCATTTCCTTATCTTATTTTCAGACGTGTTCGCAAGTTTAGTTTTCCCACAATATGATGCTTTTCTGTATTTCCCCCTACAATTAAGATGGAGCCCGATCATATTCATAAAGTGATACTAACAAAAATTAGCCATGAGTTCAACCCTGAAAGGCCAGCTTATAACCATCTACGGCATTTCACTCCAATTGAATCTCATGTTGACACCCATATCACTATGTCAAACTGTCAAAGTTAGTGATGGGTGTTAAATTGTGAATCCTATGTAAAAAGAACATTAATGATACTAATGGCCTTAAAATTGAATGCAGTGTAAAACGAAACCAAAGTCAACTACTGATGAAGGGAAATTTGGCCCGACTTCGCAATCGCCCGACACGTGGCAAAGGCAAGCAACTTGGGACAGTAGAGCGCCCGAAGCGAACATCGGAAGCAAGTCCAAGCTCACTAGCGAGCCCGAACTCCAGACCGCTCTACTGAGTCC